TTCTTCTACAAATGAAGTCAATCAGCTTGGATTGACTACAGGTAAATGTAATTTACGTTTTGCATTGAATTGGTTTTTCGTGTCTTTACCTTCTACGGTGTTTTGTCTTTGAAAGGGAAGTTGTCAATGCAAGTACCTTTACACCAGAATATTTCAGAAACAATAAGCTCTCAATCTTGTGGAATGGGCCCTGTTCACGCCCACTTTTTTACCTCTCTAAAAGTAACTGCTTCAGTGTACAAACAATTTAGTTTTCTTCTTCCTCACTATTTCTCTTTCAAGACCTTTCATTAAATTTGCGCGACAATTTCCAGGGAATTATCGGCAATAGTCTCATCAGAAACTTCCCGTGGTTCTCGTTGATTAGCATTGTTGTTATCTACTTGAACCTTCGAGGGAAAATCTTGTTTATCTTCAGTTTCCAGAACAGGATCGTCGCTCGCTTTATTTGATTCACAGTCACTGCTTGCACACTCTTGACCCTGTGTGTTCTGATTACAAGCAGAGTTATCTGACTCCATCGTTTGAGTGTCTTCATTAACTTCATCTCCTTGATGTGTAGTAGTATCAGTCTCACTTTGTTCTGGAACCTCTGCAGTTTCATTAATGGGTGACGCAATTTCTCCCGGTATATTCACAATTTCGCTAGCAATATTTCCATCTCCTAAAACATCTGAGCCTTCGGTTTCAGGTAAAGTTGTTATCGCAATGGCATTGGATTCACCGATGGTGTTTGATACTTCGACATTCTGTTCGGTTTCTTTAGTCGGGACGTCGTTCCCACTACACTCGCCCACTTCACTGTCTTCCTGTTCACAGCCATAAACCTCTCGTTTAAAAGAGCCACTTCCGGAAATGCTCGCCCGCGAATCAGAATCAACGCTTTCAGTACTCTCGGCACCGGATACACTCCTCTCCAAGGTAACTCTTGACGCAGACCCCAGGCACGTATTTCCCAGTTGCGCGGCAGCACCATCAGCAGATGAACTTGCGCCAGATGGACCCTCTGCCCCAGGTGCCATCTGTATTCCCCAGCCAGGGAGAGGTGGTAATTCAGGGAGGTTTGCCGGTAGGATTCCATCAACGTCACTAAGGCTCGAGTTGCAGTCAAGATCAAGATCGAGCTGACTTTGATCAAGGGACGTCTCGTCTTCAGAGTCTGCACCGACACCTGCCTCTCTTTCTTGTAGATTTGCCAACATGGCTAGCATTTTCTTGTCTTTTCTCTTCTGATGAATGTCGTCGCTGATGACCTCCAGTGATCTCAAGCACTTGGAGTAGTTCTGTTTGGCTTCACTGAGACCTTTGTGGATTGAGTCCACCCTCAATTTTAATTGCTGAAGAAAAGACGTGTAACCTTTTTAAAAGCTAACAAATAGCTAAAGGAGAATTTGTTCTGACACTAACAAGTTCCACTTCATAGGACTACAGTGAAGGCTCTTATGTAGACTAGCCACTGCTAGAAGTAGCACATGCGTTTTCTAGAACTCGCCGGCAAATCTGAAAATTCGACAATTTGTCTCAATCTTTCTCACTGTTTAACACCTGTAGCCAGTAAACTCAATGATTGCCCAAACGGTGGTACAGAATTTATCGTTCTTCTGTTCCACCCTCTTAATTTCACAGTAAGACGTGACTTATGTGCGGTATTAACTCTTCTTACTGGTTACAAGTGAGGTAATTAATTTTTGTGATAATTACAACAGGTCGAGTGTATGATCTTCTCAGTTTTTCTCATCAGCTGATAGCAGCAGAGCCTGGCAACCTGTCCATCTTGTAAATTGCAAAACATTCAAAATTGTATAGTTCATTGTTACACACTCTCTATTTCATGGTACATGTAGATGATTGACAGAACCATGGCAGTTACATGTAGCAGGACTACCATCCTGACAATCCATTGGCAAATTGTTTGACAAACTGGCATGTATAGAGCCTGCCTCGTCATACCTATAGAACATGCACATCTTACTTGTGGGGGATGGGAGGGGGTGGGATGTTTGTACATGTACCAGCAGCAGACCAGTCAAATCAACTTGAACCTTCATCGGTCTACAGTGCATAATGTAATTAAAATATACTTACCCAAAGATGCCGATCGAAGGACACTTTTTGGACAAAATATGGCCTACAAGATAGAAAACAGTGCCTTTTAGTGTCAGTTGTTGCAAGTTTCAATGCAAATCTTGGACCACTTTAGGCTTTTCCTTTTTTTATTTATTTTATGTTTGTTTATTTGTTTGTTTATTTGTTTGTTTGTTTTTCTGTCCTTCTTTTACAGTTTAATGGGGTTTCAGTTGCCATTGTTCCTGCTGAAAATATTCCCATCTAGACCTCAAGAATGTAGTAGTTTTGAACTAAAAGTGCCCACAGCATGGAGTGTCAAGTTGTCCTTTGCATTTGATAGAAGACATTTCAACATGTAGATATATTTCCTATCTCTGTGCAGCCATGTTAATTATTCTTGATTCATTGTCACCAATGAGGTGCAAGAATTGAAGACAAAAAAACAATTTAAAGAAATATAACTGAATAATTAATCAACATGGTACGTCAGGTAATTTCATAGAAATATAAAATGAGCAAGCTTATTTCTACATGTCAGACACAACCCACCTGGCTTTCTCAACAGATTTTTTCAGTTTGCTTTGCATCGTCTTTGTGGTTTTCTCAATTTCCTGATAGGACTTATACATTTTTTGATGGGTGAACCAACTTTCCTTCTTCTGATTTTCAGCCTCGTTAACCTTCATATGTAAAATAGAGCACAGTGTATTCTTAATATTCCCAGCTAATGGCTGGATCTTGGTCTTGTCACTGCCACTATCAATAGAGATGTTGACAACTTTCAAAGCCTACCTACAAGCCTAAGTGACCTGTGCACCCACAAAATGTACCTAATGATATTCTGCTTCAAAAGCATAAACGAACTGGTCAGGAAGACTGGTCATATTACTACTAAATATAGAGTACATGGGATCATTGCTAGCCCATCTCAACAGGCCATAAAACATTTTTGACTGAAGATGGGTTGCCCAGGGAGAATTTGCCAGTGACTATTTATACATCCAGATAGAGAAGTTTACCGCAAGAGAAATTTCTCCATGAACACAACTCAATGGCCCACAAAACCCCTTTCTATAAACAAACTAATGGAAACAAAAAATAGTTCCTGTATGTGTGACTCTGGATAATCTGAGAGAAAAAAACCCTTAAAACAAGGTAAGAGATAATTATGGCTGTTATTGACCAAGTGTACAGACGGAATGGAGAAAAGTAATGAGGCCCAAGCATTTTGTCTTTAACCGTGTTGTTGAGACGAAGTTTACGTGCACTAATGTAGACAAGGTCAGTGTTTCCTCACGTACACCTGGACCAAACAGGCCTGGACACTAGGATTTCTATAATATTTTTCTGACATCCAGAATCAAAGCTGAAAACAGAACAGTGCATAATTGCGTGGTTTTAGCTGAAATGAAAGCAGTCTAAAGAAAAAGGTGGACTACTAGGTAAATCAATCAGAAATATTTATTCTAGACTTCACGCTTTACTGCAGTCTTTACCTCAAGTGTTGCCTGGTTAAGCATTTCTTGTAGTGCAGTATCAAATGCTCTTTTCTCTCCACTACCAAACACTCTTTGTTCAGCCTCATGTACTCTCTGCCGTGCATAAACATGCCTGCTGTTTGCTTTTTCAAACTGTAGTGTTGCTTTTTGTAACTCAAAGTGAGCCTATGAACAACAATGTAAAATACAGTTAGACAACTGAAGGTAACATGAAAACCAGCATTACATTTTTCATGACAGAGCATAACTGAAAGATTAAAGTGTTAGAAGATGACAGTTATTGGAATAGGGGTGCTTTCTAACAAATTGCTTATTACAAAGGGGGCACTTACTAGAAGGCCACTAAACCGAATCATCATAAGCTATTCTAAAAACGTTCTGCATTTTCCTACCTTTCGCATCTCTCTCAGCACATCATAAAAAGGTCGAGCCTTGTCTATACACTTTCCAAGCTTCTGTGCCTGGGCATTTAAATGATAAGTTGCAGCAGCCATGGTTTGGCGGAACACAGCTCTGGCCTCCTACAAGTATAGAACATGACAATGTAGTTCTAACATGATTTGCTGATTGTAAAGTTCACAGAACAGCGTTTTACCCACTACTTTCTAGAAGAAAGGACTCGAGCAGGAAACAGGAATTCAATAAAAGCGAGACAAGCTCTGTCGACAAGTTTTGGAAAAGCAGATGGAGGGCAGGTGAGCTTTTCTGGATGTCTCAGACTTTTGAATGCCACCAGTGCTGAAAGCCTCCTAGCACTTCTGGTTGTTTGACATGTCAAAAATAAACCAATCAGCACAAACCTTTGACAGAATATAACTACATGCTAATGGCTGTTTCACCCACACAAGAGACGTTTGAGATTTGTATCAAAAAAAACCCATACCAATGGAGATTAGCACTAGAGAGATCATGTACTGTACATACATGTACATGTTTTCTGAATATTAGTTACTGCTTGGTTTTGAATTTATGACATCTAAGTATTAACAAATTGGGGGAAATCAAGACCAACCTCTGAAGAGCTATCATCTGACAAGGGGAGAGGGTAATTGGGATGTGATATTTGACACCACATGGGAGGGAATGAGTATTTCAAAGAACTCTTGCTTTGTTTTACCTTGATCAAAATCATGGTGGAAATTGCAAAGATCAGAGAAATATAACATTAGGAAAGATGAAAAAAAATGGCCTGAAAAAGCTGCATGCTGCATTTGAAGCTACAATATTAAATTTTGTTATAAATATTTGTGTGTCAAAGTATGTTCAAACTTTATTTCTATCGCATAAATTAGTGTTCTCTCAGTCAATTTTTCCAAGAACATCCCAGGTGCAGGGGAATTTGATTGCCTATCAAGACCCAAATCATGTGTACTTAAGGCATCCACGGACAAGTGTTTATTGCTATCCTTGATCGACATTTCCATTGACAATTGTTCGACATTTCAATCACTACTCAGTTGACAATCGATCGACATCTCAGTCAACAGTCAGTTTAGAGTCAACTAATTTTCACAGACACACCATTGAGTGTTGATTGATACATTTGAGTCAGTTGACACTCAGCCAACTATTGACCGCCTGTCAATCAAGTGTCAATCAAGATGTCGATTGAGCATCCATTGAGATATGGATCGACTGTCAAGGATTTTGATCACCACTCAACTGTGGATGCCTTTAGTTTTAACACATCTTCCCCTGACCCTGAAGTGCCTGGGCATTGAACCACAACTTTTGGCTGAAGGATGAGAGTTTGCTTCAAAGTCTCATATGCCTTAGGGTTTCCCAGAAAATGAGGGGGAGGTATGTTGAAATTTTGAATTGACAGATACTCAAGTCTGTAAATGCAAATTTTTTTTTGTGCATGCCCATCAGACAAGGACCACACCCATAGATACATTTTAGCTCAGACTAGTGAATACATTTTGTGGATTTCAGATTGATGTCTTCAGGTTGTGGAGGAAAACCATGGAAACTGCGAAAATTGAAATATACACGAATGGTGTTAACGTCAGTGGAAAAAGCTCAAAGCTCAAGCTGACGTTGAGATGGCTGTATTTTCATTACAATTGACAATATAAACAAAGAAATTAAATCAATCACTCGTATCCCGTAAAACTAAACAAAGAATGGAAAACTATCCACACTTACATCAAGTTCAGCTTCCAAATGGTTTATTGAGTTGGCAGACACATTCAGTCTCTCAAGCTCGTCCTGAAATTTGTACACAGAGCACGATATTGAAGACAAGATGGCATGAAAAATTTAGCTTACTTCGCCGGAATTTAGCATACCTGTACACGAGGGTCTAACTCCTCTTCTTCTTCCTCGTCCTCGTCCGTATATTCATCTCCACTGTAAGAGGTCGTATCAGTCATACTGCAAAACGAAACGAAAAAGAAGAAAGAAAAACCAGATGGTAGTTACATGCAGTGCAAAAACAATTTGGTTCAACTCAGTGATATCCCGCTAATGAACGGAAAACTTCGACAAACTTCGGAAAGTTTTCGGGTGTTGTCGATTTTACGGAAGTTGAGTACCGCTGGCCTCAATGTCAGCGTTTCATTCCATTGTTTTGAGACTTGTTTTGATGGGAAAAGGTGTCGGAAAGGTTCTAACAGTCGCTCTAACATGGGGAAAGTGGACGAATGGAAGGCGTCTTATTATTGTAATGGTAGCAAAACGTGGATTTATGGTCACCTTGTCATTTACACCCGTTGTATACGCTTTATAGAAGATAAAGGAGGAACGAGCGGCCTCGATTTTCGGATCTACTTCGAGAATTTCTTCGAGCTCAAAAAAGAGACTACGTCCATATTTTTTTCGGCTATAACAGTCCGTGTGAGGACTGATAAATATTGGTTTTCCTCGTTTGCAGATCGTGGTCATGTGTTTAATACAATCGAGCATTTCTGGAAGGAAAGACTTTTTGCAAGGTATGTGGAACCCCGACTATTTGTAAGAAAATAATGCACAGCTACACAGTGGGTAAGAAACTTGGCCCTAGCGGAGCTTGTATCCTTATGTTTTTCCTGCCTTTTTTTCTCTTTCTTTTTTAATCAGTTTTGGAGCTGTCCTGACTGAATTGAAAATTTTTTGAGAGCCAAGATGGCTGACATTTTGGAAATGTGACATCATTTTGGTGTTCTGTGACATAGTGATTGACACATGACTATCACTTAAGTAAACAAGTTTAATTTGGATGCTTTATACCCTGTATTTAACAAATTGACGTCAGTTTTTTATGC